GCAAGGGCAACTCCCTCCAGCAGTTCAAACAAACGCTTATACTCATGTGCCTTATTCTGGTGGAGTGAGAGAACAGCAAGTCCATTTTACTCCTCAAGTAAACCAACGGCAACTCCCACCTGCAGTTCGAACAAATGTGTCTACTTATGGGCCTTTTACTGGTGGTGCGAGAGAACATCAAGTTCATTTTACTCCTCAAGTAAATCATGGACAATTTCCTCCTCCCAGAGTTCAAACTAATACATCTACTCATGGTCCTTTCTCTGGCGGAGTGAGAGACCATCAAGTTCAGCTTGCTCCTCGACCTCAAATAAACCAAGTACGGAATTTTATGACAATAAAGGAAAAGCGTACTTGTCTATAATTTTGTTGGTATATTTGATATTATTTTTATTATCGTGAGCTGCCGATTATATACTTGAGGTAGCCAATTATCTGGTCTCTTCTGTAGCCTCTTTCTTCAGTGCCTTCCGTTTTATGTACCAGCTTATATCCCTAACTTGCCTTGTCTGTAAGCATCTTAACTGACTGAGATATTTTCTTGCGTAGTTTGCAGCTTACTCAGGCACTGGTGGACAACAGTATGATCTGCAAAGAATGGTTTTGGAAGTTCTGCAAGCACCTGATATCCTGTAAGTTTAGTTTCTCTGCCAGAAATTGTAAAAGGTTGCATATCATTATGGAACTCTTAGCTTCTGTTGTAACGGTTTGCTTAGTTAGGTGTACGTATGTTCACATTTTCCAAATTCTAATCCTGACCAAAGGTTATAAGCTGGTTCCAGCCTTTCCTTTGTCACATTGTCAGTTTATTTTGTATATTCGTAGGTCTGGTGTCTAGAATTGACCTTTTCATGGTAACGTGGAATGATCCACAAGAGAAGAAAGGCTTGTTATATTTTTTCCATTGCCTTTTAAGTCCAATGGGTCCAATTGAATGTGGTGTTGTGCTGCTTCTGCTTGAGTAAAGAAAACTTGATTGGTCTGTTAAAGCGGTGCCAAGTTGTGCTACAGTAGACTAACGGTATTGATAACAAAAATATACCATGGAATGGTTCTAAACTCCTAATCATGCATAGGAAAACAAGAGTTCTTACTACACCTAGTTTTCTGTACAAGCAAATCATTTTTTAACGTTCATTATTACTATGTATTGCGCTCCTTAAAGAAAATTGTAGCCAGGTTATCGAGACACACGATGGGTCTACTGATTGCACGATCCCTTTGTTTGAAGTGTTTCAATAAATAATCCAAGTGACAGATTGAACTATGGTTGGATACTTCAGTGGTTTTGTTGTTTGAGGCATTCTGACACTTAATTAATGGATCCCCGTGTAACTTTTCATGGCAATGAGTTCCACTTACACATTGCAGCACTGGGCATCCTTACCGCAATGTAGTATGCATCTGATGTCTTGCCTAAAAATCAGGAGCTCTTTTCTAATAATAGACCTGAAGCTGCTTCAACAACCAGGCTGCTCCAGATCATTATTGAATTGCAGAAAGTTTATTTAGGAGATTTGTACTGACTGTTGCTTCGCGCAGACCCCTTGAAAATGGCATACACGTTGATGAAGTGGCTAGAAGAACTGGAGCGCCAAAAACAAGCATCATGTACTACCTCTAACTTGTTTTCTCCAATCGCTTGCATGATCTGAGTTTGACCTGTTTACAATTTTGCTGTACAGGGAGGTCATCAACTTACTCGCTGATACAGGGTTCGTCTGTTGGACCATTGATGACTATCATGTCAAGTCTGTGTGTAATGGTTGACCAACACAGTAATCTTCAGAACTAATCTAGTGAATGCGAGATCAGTTTGGCTATAGTTACTAATGATCTACGTGGCACACGATGTACGTGCACTGTTGCAAATGTGCAGTGGTTTGGCTCAGTCTTCCATTTGACAGTCGAGTAGGTGATACCAGTACCACCCCTTATATTGCTAAATACTCACGTTAGTATGTTGCTGTTTTACTGGGATATACTATGCAATATGTTCATGCTTGTGTTCTTGCGTTATGTTACGTTACAACACTTCTCTAGTTTTTCCTGCTTATGTGACTGATCTATCCTTCTGCTTACCTCTTTTAACTCTGCTGTTCCCCCCAGCATAGATATATATGAGTACGCTTCTGTTCGATCCCATAAACTTTTGCCTGGTAGTTTGCAGTTGAACTTGCTCCTCAAATGTACTACTATTCTGTCTTGTCCGATTCATTGCATCATGGAAATAAGAAACAACAGGGACTAAAAATAGGGGTTCGGTCTGAAAATTAACACACCAATTTGTCAGGTCAACCACTATTGGTTTTACTGGTTAGGGTCCTAAGTTCGATGCATTGTCTTCTAGTTTAGCTTATCGTTCCTTTAGGTGTCTTACCAAAAGAAGTCTTATCTGCTTTGAGCAATAATTGTGCACAAGAGCTTCTGTTTGCCTACCCGAGGTGCATTTCTCAAATGGTGTCTGCTGATCGTAAGGGTACACGTGCTATCCAAAAGCTAGTGTGTCAATAATTCTTAATCCTCCAATCCAACTAACACAGTTTGCTAGTACATGATTAGTGTCTGAACCCTCTACGTGTTATCTTAACCGATCTGTAGTATACTTGTTCTGGAGGTCACATATAATAGTTCTTCATAGATTGAATATAGAGTATAGATGGAACAAGGCAATTGCCTGGGTTAGGTATTCTGTACTTCATGCTCTGCTACTTGTTGGGTCCATAAGGTCTTGTTCTCCTGTCATTTCTTTCCTGTTTTATTATCAAAGGCAAATCGTTTCCTGCATTTTGTCGTCAGATGTTGATGTGCAGCTGTACATGTCTTCTTGCTCGACATGCTAAACCCCATTAAGTAGGCGAAAAATAGAACATGGCATATTTTAATCTTAAATTCAGTGAGTTGTATTTTATTCATTGTTTTGTCACATATTTGTTGAATTGATAAACATAGGACTTCCAACTAACTGGACATGCTTATCTGGATTTTCGCTGATAGACAAAGACAATACTATTCTATATGTATATTCCATGCCATGAATATCTATAAATTCGCCTTAATTGCCTGCATTATCAATGTGTGGTCCTCGCATTGCCCAGGTTGCAGTACCTTTTTCAGGAATCTGGCATTGTTTTTTCTTTTGAAGCACCAACCGTAGAACTATTGTTCTACGGTAATTTTCATTAAACAAAGTAAAATATGAAAAGGCTATGAATCTTGTATTGTCAAACTACACTTGAGGAAAATGGACTTGAAAAATGAAGAATTGCAAATTTGATCCTTTGTTAGGCCATTTCATCATGAGTTGTCGGCATGCAGATTAGATAAATGAAAAGAATTTTCCTTGGCACGAAGCGCTAAATTACCCAGCAATTTCAGCTACATTTACGCAAAGCATATGTTACTCCGGAGCATCGCATTCTTTCGTTCTCGTCAGGCCATTTTGCTGGTGGCCTGTCCGCAGCGATCCACCATCGTCAGTTCTTGTCATGCATTGAGTTGGTGCGGCCGTGAACATCGATTGTACACTTTGCAATTTTGCATGATGTGATGATTCCCGCAAACTAACCTTTCTTCTTAGTAAGATCGTGTCAAGAAAGAGATGGGCGGATTGATCGTGTCAATGCAGCGTTTGCCGGTGAACGTTTTTCGTGCTTCTGATGATTAATTAGATTAGAAGAAAAATGGTTGCTGTTTTCGCGCGCCCTGCGTCTCCAGATCGCTACCTGCGCGCACGAGCCAGCCTTACGTTAGCCCACTGCCCACGGTAGGTTTGACTCTGCTCTACTGAACACGCGCCGCTGAATCCTTCCCGGAGAGAAGCGAGCAGGTGGTCGAGTCAGGTTAGGTCGGACTCCGCACGCCTGGATCACCATTGGCCATGTAGGTGCTCGTCCTTGCTATGCTTGGTCTTGGGTCACCTAATCAAAGGCCAATGATAGGTGGGTTTTTGGCAACATTTTTTGTGTGTGTTCCACTTGAGATTCTTTTCGTGAGCAAATCCCTCCCTCGGTCAGTCGCAACAGGTGTAGAAAAAGAAACCGCAGTATTCTGTCAGATGAGAGTGCTTCAGAGTTCAGAGCTCAACCCAGAATGGTGTTGGCGGAGCACCAAAGCGAAGCACCGACCGACCGAAAGGTGTCGTCCGGTTTGGGTGGAGGCCACTACTATTCCTGAATAAACTCTACTATCATACTACCTGGCCAGTATTTAGGAGTGAGGAGCACGCACGCACCAATTATCCGGTGACAGTGCGTGCAGCTACAGGCCAACGCGACTGTATCCCACTTTAGTACTTTACACTTTCCGAGCAAAATCTCCCTTTTTCAGCACAGGTTGCTTTCAGTTTTTTAATTAGATTAAAGAAAGAAGAGGTTGCTTGTCAACCAACCTCGCCTCGAGACATGTTACTGATAAGCAAGTTGTTGTTGTATAAGATGAACACCTTGCATGGGAAGCTGCCCGAGGAGAGAACACCTTCTGCACTTGCCCACACTCACGGCCACATGATCGATCGACCCCTGTTTCCCCTTGCCTTTTACGAGGAGCATGCCGCTTCATTCCGGGGTCCGTCCAAGAGGTGTACAAGGAGCCAGGGTAGGGGCGCAGCTCAACCTGTCCCGAACTGCCATGCCACGGCGCTGCACCGCGTGTCGTGGACACGAATGCGCTACCAGCGTAAGTAATGAAAGCGGCACGTACACCTGGCAACAACGAACCAACTGCATGCGTCCATACAACTGGAATCCAAGTACCCAACCCAACCGGAGCAGGCAGGTCGGTCTGTCGGTCTCTGCCTGCATTTCGTATTGCACGCAAGCACCTTCTTTTCCGTTCGTGTCGTGGTCAACATACGGGGGTGGTTTTTACTTGCCTCTCACAGATAACCTTTGTATTCACAACCTCGACAACGAAAAGCCTTTACATGTGGGGCGGGGCAGGTGGGAAGGAGCAAAAATTTCAGCAAGCATCACAGTCGTCTGACGCAATCTTAGCCCGTGCTAAGTGCTCAAGGCTGAGGATGTTGACAAAGGGGAGGGCGTGCCGGATTCCTCATCGTCGTCGTCGTCGAGGTCGTCGAAGCCCCACATTTCCTCCCCCTCGTCGTCGCCGGCCGCCGGCTCCGGCATCGCCCACCGCTCCTCCTTGATCTCCACGCCCTCCAGCAGCTCCAGGACCTGTTCGTCGCAATGCATGCTACTACGATCAGATTATTCGACGCATGTCGTCAACGTTGTTACCCGCAAATTAACCGACCAGCCACCAGGTGCTTGCGCCAGTTTCTCCACTATGCCAAAACTGATGGTAATAATGGGTCTACTTGTAGTAATACACGCCTGATGCATTACTAGATAGTAATGTTGGATCTATTTATAGTAATATATATACATGATGCATTGCTAGCACGTGGTCTCTCCTCTCCAGGTAGAAATTAACGGTAATATTTGGTCCAGTCATAGTAATTCATTACTAGCATTAGGTCTCTCTCCTCCATGTAAAAATCAATGGTAATATTAGGTCCATTTATAGTAATTCATTACTAGCATTAGGTCTCCCCCTCCATGTAAAAATCAATGGTAATATTAGGTCTAGTTATAGTAATTCAAACATGATGCATTACTATCATGGAGTTCTACATGTACGTGAACATGATGCTTTACTTGGTAACACAAGTAATTTTATTACCATATCCCGACCAGTTTTACTACCAATATATATATTTGCAAGTAAGCTTACCTCTGTCATGGACGGCCTCCACGTCGCCGACGCGCGGACGCAGAGCGACGCCACGAACGCCAGCCGCCGGGCCTGCTCGGCGTCGTAGCCGCCATCGCCGCCGGCGACGATCCTCGGGTCCAGCAGCGCCTCCGTCTTGCCCTCGTTGAGCAGGGGCCTCGCCTGCATTCGCGTTGTTTAGACAAGATTAGTTAATTAATTAACGCGCGCTGCCGTGGAACGGAGGCTGGTACAACGGCCTAGGGCCAAAAATGTTTGGTTGGTCGGTTTGGTGCCCACCCAGCCGAGGAGGCTCCTGTGGGTGCCGTCCACCGGCTTCCGGCCGGCCATGAGCTCCAGCAGGAAGACGCCGAAGGCGAACACGTCCGTCTTCTCGTCCACGATGCCGCGCGTGTAGTACTCCGGCGCCAGGCACCCGAAGGTGCCCTCGATCGGCGCGATCGCCCGGTGCGTCCACTCCGTCGGCAGCCACTTGGCCAGCCCGAAGTCGGAGATCTGTTTTTGTCTGCATGCGTCAGGGCTGCCGGAGCAGAGGATCGACGATGGAGATGCGGCGGCTGAGTGAGTGTGAGTGACTGACCTGGGGCTGGAAGTCGTCGGTGAGCAGCACGTTGGAGGCCTTGATGTCCCGGTGGATGATCCGCCGCCGGCACCCCTTGTGCAGGTACTCCAGCCCCCTCGCCGTGCCCACCGCCACGCCGTACCGCGCCTCCCACCCCATCGCCGGCGCCCCCTCCTCGCCGTCTGAGCATGCATTCATTAATCAATCAAGAAACATTGCAGACATTAATGGCCGTAGTGCGCCGTCCGTTACGCGGGGGGAGTACCGTGGAGGTTGGCGGAGACGGAGCCGCGGGCGGAGAAGGCGAAGACGAGGTAGAGGTCGCGGTCGACGCAGCAGCCGAGGAGCGGGCACACGTTGGGGTGCCTGGCGTGGCCCACGGTGCCGAGCTCCGCCAGGAAGTCCCGCTCCCGGCGCTCGCAGGCGGACGCGCCCATGAGCCGCTTCACCGCCACGGCGCGCCCGTCCGCCAGCTCGCCGCGGTACACCTCCGACGACCCGCCCCGGCCCACCAGGTTGGCCGCGCGGAAGCCGTCCGTGGCGCGCCGGACCTCCTCGTACGAGAAGCACTCCCACTCGGGCCTCCGCTCCGTCGGCGGCGGTGACTGCGGCGACTCGGCGTGCGCGTCCCCGGGGGGCGCGTGGACGCGCTTGGCGCGGTGGGGCGAGAGGGAGAGCAGCAGCCTCTTGAAGCTGCCGCTGCCCCGCAGGTACAGCGGCTTCATCGGCCGGCCGGCCTCTCCGGGGCAATGCGCCAACGCCGTTGCGCGGCTTCTTGACTGATCGGCGCGCCGGCGACGCGTGCGAGCTCTGGTCTCGGGTAGAGACTCAGACTAGGGAGGGAAGGAAGTGGAGGGAGACGAAGTGGTGTAGGAAGTGGCTGGGGGGCTATTGATGCGTCAGACAGAGTGCTACGTAACGCCGAGGGGGTCGCGCGCGTCGTGGGCATATGATCGCGACCGGGCGGGGCAGGGGGGCGTTTGGGTCCCGCTCCGGCCCGCGCCCGTGCCGTACGTGGACGCGACCCTCCATGCACCGCGCCGTTGCAGGCAGCCACAGCAGCAGCAGCAGTGACACCTGAGCGTGGCCGTGGGACGAGTCTACCCAGATCCAGGCGGGCGGGCGGGACGGAACGGGAGGGCAAGGCAAGGCGGGCAGTTGCTTAGGGAGAAGGGAAGGAAGCGTTGCGTTCGCAGCAGGGGAAGGGAAGGGACTCTGCTATCTCTTCTGCCGTACGGTACGTACCCCTGGCTCGTCTCACCGCCGCGTCGATGGCGAAAAACGGGCGTCGAGCCTTTGCCGAAAAGATGGAGTGGACAACGATGCGGGTGATGGTACGGAGAGCTCTTCCGCTGCATTTGTCAAGCTGCGTCCTTGGCGATCGCCCGTACGTGCCGCTGCGGTGTCGCGAGTCGCAGCGAAGAAAAAGGTTGGCCTGTCAGGGCGCTCACGCTCTTGCGCTGGCTGGGCTGCGTGTCCGCCTGGGCCTCGGTGGTGGCGGTCCGTGACGGCCCGTTTTGTTCGACGCTTCGGACCCAAGTTTGACTGGGCCAGCATCCCTGTTCGCTCAAAAAAGGAGCTTACCCCTCAAAAAAGAAGCCCTAAAAAAACCTCAAAAAGAAAAAAAAACTCAAAAAAAGGAACCTTGAAGTTTTTTTCTTTAGTATTTAATAATCTAACAGAATGTTTATCTCGAAAAATAAAAAAAAATCTAACAGAATGTGTTGTTTGTTAAATTTGAAATTTCGAGGGTGAATACTTTTTTCCCACAAGATGGGTTAGTTGTTTTTGCAAATCAAGCACACCACTAAGGTTCCTGATTAGTACATAGCAGCATGCCAGTCCTGTCCATTGTCAAAAGATCTCCATGTGTTGAAAATCTGAACGCTATATCATGACTCGGTATCAAATGAATTTTTATGTGACAGTTTCAGTGTTGCTTTGAGACCCAAAACCGCTAAACGTGATGCGGATTTCGCATTTGGATTTTGTTGCTACATCGCTGAGATTATCATTCGCTGTCAGCATTTTTTTCTGGCGTTCAAACTCAAGAGATTTATTCAACAAAAAGAACTTTCAGCAACATCGGCCAAAAGGCTAGTGAGCAGGAAAATGGGGTCTAGCATCAATCCAACTTTCCGTGACCATCAACGAGCAAGCATGCTTAGCACATTGACCTGTTTACATGTTCAATACAAAAAGTAATAAAAGACGAAGCTAACTCTCCAATTCCTACATGTATCGACGATAGAGTCAAATCTAGAAGATCTCGGGTAAGGGGTCCCGAGCTGGTAGCCTTAGCACGATGATAACATGGACACATTATTTATCCAGGTTTGGGCTCTCTTGAAGAGATAATACCCTATGTCCCGCTTGATTGTATTAATTTGGAGGGAGTACAAATTACATGCTGATCTAACACAAGATTGTATGTGTATGAAAATTATCGTCTACAAGCCTCACCCCTCAGCTTATATAGATACGGTGGGTGAAGGAAATATGTCCTAGAGGCAATAATAAAGTTGTTATTATATTTCTTTATATCATGATAAAAGTCTATTATTCATGCTAGAATTGTATTAACCGGAAACTTAATACATGTGTGAAGACATAGACAAAGCACCGTGTCCCTAGGATGCCTCTACTAGACTAGCTCGTTAATCAAAGATGGTTAAGTTTCCTAGCCATGGACATGTGTTGTCTTTTGATGAACGGGATCACATCATTAGAAGAATGATGTGATGGACAAGACCCATCCGTTAGCTTAGCATAATGATTGTTCAGTTTTATTGTACTGCTTTCTTCATGGCAAATATATATTCCTCCGACTATGAGATTATGCAACTCCCGGACACTGGAGGAATACCTTGTGTGCTATCAAACATCACAACGTAACTGGGTGATTATAAAGATGCTCTACAGGTATCTCCGAAGGTGTTTGTTGGTTTGGCATAGATCAAGATTAGGATTTTTCACTCCGAGTATCGGAGAGGTATCTCTGGGCCCTCTCGGTAATACACAACATATGAAGCCTTGCAAGCAATGTGACTAATGAGTTAGTTACGGGATGATGCACTACGGAACGAGTAAAGAGACTTGCCGATAACGAGATTGAACAAAGGTATAAAGATACCAACGATCGAATCTCGGGCAAGTAACATACCGATGACAAAGGGAATAGCTATGTTGACATTGTGATTCGACCGATAAAGATCTTCGTAGAATATGTGGGAACCAATATGAGCATCCATGTTCTGCTATTGGTTATTGACCGTAGAGGTGTCTCGGTCATGTCTACATAGTTCTCAAACCCGTAGGGTCCACGCGCTTAACGTCCGATGACGATTGGTATTATATGAGTTATGTGTTTTTGTGACCAAAGGTTGTTCGGAGTCCCAGATGAGATCATGGACATGACGAGGAGTCTCGAAATGGTCAAGAGGTGAAGATTGATATATTGGAAGGTTACATTCGGACACCGGAATGGTATCAGGAAGTTTCAGATATTTTTCGGAGTACCGGGAGGTTACCGGAACCCCCCGGGGAAGTAATGGGCCAACATGGGCCACGGGAGAGAGAGGGGACAACCCACAAGGGGTTGCCATGGCCCCCCCATGGGAGTCCGAATTGGATCAGGGGAGGAGGCGGCGCCCCCCTTTCCCTCTCCTACTCCCTCTCCCTTTCCCCCTTTGCCACCCTGGAAAAGAAGGGGGAATCCTACTAGGACTGGGAGTCCTAGTAGGACCCCCCCATGACGCGTCCCTCTAGGCCGGCCGCCTCCTCCCCTCCTCCTTTATATACGGGGGCAGGGGGCACTCCAAGGCACAAAAATTATTCTCTTAGCCGTGTGCGGTGCCCCCTCCATAGTATACTCCTCCGATAGTATCATTGTAGTGCTTAGGCGAAGCCCTGCGTGGATCACATCACCAACACTGTCATCACGCCGTCGTGCTGATGGAAATCATTGCTACCTCTTGAGCTTGCGTTGGTTTTCCCTTGAAGAGGAAAGGGTGATGCAGCAAAGTAGCGTAAGTATTTCCATCAGTTTTAGAACCAACGTATCAATCCAGTAGGAGACGACGCACAAGTCACCGAATACCTGCACAAACAATCAACAACTTTCACCCAACGCGATAAAGGGGTTGTCAATCTGAGGGAGTCCTGGACTAGGGGGTGTTCAGACAGCCGGACTATCATTATCCGCCGGACTCCAAGACTACGAAGATACAAGATTGAAGACTCCGGCTCGTGTCCGGATGGTACTTTCCTTGGCGTGGAAGGCAAGCTTGGCAATACGGATATGTAGATCTCCTACCATTGTAACCGACTCTGTGTAACCCTAGCCCTCTCCGGTGTCTATATAAACCAGAGGGCTTTAGTCTGTAGGACAACATACATTACAACAATCATACCATAGGCTAGCTTCTAGGGTTTAGCCTCCTTGATCTCGTGGTAGATCTACTCTTGTACTACCCATATCATCAATATTAATCAAGCAGGACGTAGGGTTTTACCTCCATCGAGAGGGCCCGAACCTGGGTAAAAACATCGTGTCCCTCGTCTCCTGTTACCATCCGCCTAGACGCACAGTTCGGGACCCCCTACC